CAAGTCCCAAGTCACTGTGGTAGAGATTCAAGCAAGTCAAGTCATGTNTGCTGTAGTTCCTTTAGAGCCCAACATTAGCCACCTTTAGCTTAGCGTTGGTGACGTGAAGTCATGTGACCGTGCTGTAGTTCGAACTAGACGAAAGTTAAACAAGTACAAACCACAGACTGTCTGTGTCATGGAGAATACAGTCGCTGGTTTATTAATGTCTGTAGGCCGTTGTTGTGAGTGGACGGTCGGAGCATATACTGCGTTAGCTTAGCCGATCTCCATTCAGAAAACACGCATTTTAAAAGGTTTTTATCGCCTGCCGTCTGTCTGCAGACTTGTCAAAGCATTAATTCATGGTTTTTACTAACCGGTATCAGTATGTTGTTACTTCGGCATCATTTTGAAACGTGTATTACAATTTAATCACGGTCAAATATGTACAGTAGTTGTAGCCCCCTGGCCAGCAAGTCTTGTTTGAATGCGAGTAAACACAGCTGACAGCCGCGGTGAAACTCGAGCCTTTAGAGCGATTAGAGCGAAGGGAATATTTGCATCGCGTCCGGTGTGAACGCACTATTGGAGATGTCCCGCCCCTTAGCCTATCATTTTTCGTTTCAGGCAGAAGTTGAAGAAAACTTTGGAATTGTAGTCTTTGCAGACCATTTACGTGCACTAAAATCTATACAACACAATACAGGAAAGAGAAAACCCCAAAAAGCATAAAAGGGCCTTTTTAAAAATGGGCAACGTTTTTTTATATACAGAGGAGACAAGGAGATCATAGAAAAAGTAGATGTAACTTCTTCTGGTGACGGCTTGCTTTCATAAGTAAGTCAAGGTTCAGCTGTGTTTAATTAAACGGTTACATGGAAATGCCGACAGCAGCGGTGATTAAACAGGATCTGACAGGAAGGTGTGTGTGAGAAATCCTGCTGAAACAAAACTCCTCATATCTCATCTCTTTATAAGCTGTGAGATAAATGTAGTGAAGTAAAAAATGTCAAGTCAAAAAGTAAAAGTCAACTGATTGTCAATCTTTCAGTTTGTGTGCACAGAGAGATCGAAATACCGTTTCCCACAATCCCGAATACAAAAATACAAAAAGTATATATACAAATATGTATAAACCTATATATGCACAATCATAGACACATTTATACATATTCACACATATGACCTAAATATTGTGTTTTGGGAGTAACAGAAGGCTACTTCATTCAAAACGTACTTGAGAAAGTTCAAGCATGTATAAGTTTCAAAGTTGACTTAAAGTACCAAAAGTAAAGGTACGTTTTACGCGGAACTCCAATTAATATTTGATAATTATTATTGAAATAAATGTTTAAAGTAAAGAACTGAGATGAAGTGAAGTACAAGTATAACTATGCACACAATGGAGTGGCTAAGTAATTGACTAGTACCGCAACATTTTACTATTACAGAGTAAATATTTCACATTTTACAAAAATGTTACATCATATTTTTACAATTTCTCCCAATAATTGCATGTGTCTTATTTTATCAACTCCTGCCAGAAGTTGAGGCAATTACAAAAAAACACAAACACTTCAAATGTATGAGTCGGAAAACAATATTTTTCTGAAGAAATCCTCCGTAAATTAAAAAGTGGTCAAATTCTTGTTTTCGTACCAAGTGTTTGTTTTACATTTGTGTGGATTGAGTTATGAGATTATAATGGGCTGGGTCGTGGGTTTGTTGTTTTATGAAAACATTTCACATGTTATCTTCAGAGATACCAAAGGTGAAGTCATATCTCTCTCTCCCTTTGTGAATGGGAGACATGTCCAGTCTAGTCTCTTCCGTTCTCCAACAGCTGCTCTGAGTTAACATGCAGGGAGTTTGTAAGTGAACTCTTGAAGGGACAACCCGACCTTAAAAGTCCACTTCCTTTTACAGCAGCTTCCCTGTACTTATCTGGTAAAGTAAACCTTGTTTTCTAGCCTCCTACTGTATGTTTTTCTTTATCTTTATATATGAAAAGGTTGTAGCTGATGTAACAGAGTGGCAAAACCTGTTTAGGGATGTGTTTATCTCAAAAGAAAAGCCAATGACTGCTTAGGGTCACATACATTATTTAAGCCTTTCATCTCAAGGACAAACTGCATAATATGAAAAGAGCCTTTAGTTTGCATGTATTATTTACACTAAACATTATTAATAAACACCCCTAGCTTTGACTAATAAACCAGGAAATGACTTGGCATTTTACCACTTCAGGTTAGGGGCGTTCTGAACCTGTTTTTGGTGACGTGAAGTCATGTGACCGTGCTGTAGTTCCTTTATAGCCCAACATTAGCCTCCTTTAGCTTAGCGGTGGTGACGTGAAGTCATGTGACCGTGCTGTAGTTCCTTTATAGCCCAACATTAGCCACCTTTAGCTTAGCGGTGGTGACGTGAAGTCATGTGACCTGCTGTAGTTCCTTTATAGCCCAACATTAGCCACCTTTAGCTTAGCGGTGGTGACGTGAAGTCATGTGACCGTGCTGTAGTTCCTTTATAGCCCAACATTAGCCTCCTTTAGCTTAGCGGTGGTGACGTGAAGTCATGTGACCGTGCTGTAGTTCCTTTATAGCCCAACATTAGCCACCTTTAGCTTAGCGGTGGTGACGTGAAGTCATGTGACCGTGCTGTAGTTCCTTTATAGCCCAACATTAGCCTCCTTTAGCTTAGCGGTGGTGACGTGAAGTCATGTGACCGTGCTGTAGTTCCTTTATAGCCCAACATTAGCCTCCTTTAGCTTAGCGGTGGTGACGTGAAGTCATGTGACCGTGCTGTAGTTCCTTTATAGCCCAACATTAGCCTCCTTTAGCTTAGCGGTGGTGAAGTGAAGTCATGTGACCGTGCTGTAGTTCCTTTATAGCCCAACATTAGCTTTATTTTATTTGTTTGAATCCATCATCCCTGCACCACTCTATATCCAGCTTCAGAAAGTAGAGACAGGGATATTGGAGGTTTAGTTTAGGGGGGGTGAGGCAGTGAAAGAGAAGCTGACCTCCACAGATTTCTAATTACAGCCAAACCACGCAGAGCCTCTCACAGCTGATCAGCAGCTCAGTCACACAGGCCTCTTTATTCAAGCCTACATCAAAACAGAGCTAAAGGATTTGTCAATGCAGACCTGTGTTGTTGTACTCTTCTTGTTTCTAGGAGAGACATAAAAAAGATGGGGGGAATCTGCCGTGCACTTTGTAAAGTGTATTATAATCAGGCTGCATGATGCTTTAAATGGTTTTTATCTAAGCGGTTATCTATAATCTTTCTTACCATTGCAACAATTATTTCTAATTAATTTAATTTTTTTGTATTGATTTCCTGTGTTTCAAGTAGGTTCTGCAATCTGTGTACAGATCAGCTTGAAACATCCCCCATCATATGACTGACTAAGGACTTTTATATAAATATAATCAATGTTTTAAAAGCATGTCATTTTTAATAAATAATTTAGAAAATTGCTCAAAAGAAATGGATGAAGAACACAAAGAAAATTGTCAAAAATGGATGCCCTTTGTTGTAATTGCTGTATGCCAATGACTACACTGTGTACAGTATATATTCATATAAATATATAGTTCTTTATTCCTGTTATTGTTGTTTCACTCGTTTTATTGTCAATTTTGTTCAATTTGTCTTTACGTCATGTGATGTTACCTTCTTTTAAAAACTATAAAAACTGATTATACATTTTAAAAATAGTAGAAAAAGTGATATGTTTCTCAGATACCGGAGAGTCTTTAACGACATCAGCATACATTTTATAATCACGATATTCAAGCCTCCTTTTTGTTTCTACAGTTTGATTTTTAAATATGTTTCAGTGCTCTTGATGCATTATCATTAAACATTCATTGACAGCCAACTCTAATAACTTCAGGTGAGTAAACATTATTCGAGCAAACTAAAAGGCCATTGTTAATAATTAAGTCCCACCAGATGCTGCCTCCCCTCCTCCTGCTTTCACTTCTCCTCCCATCCTCATGTTTTATTTCCCTCTCCCTCCTTGTCTGTCTCCCATCCTCTCGTCTCCTCCCTCCTCCTAAACTAACCATGTCCCTGTCTTTTTATTGTGTTTCGACAATACATAAGTAATGTTTGTCATTTCGAAGTGCAAAGCAAAATATATGCAGACAAATGAGACAATGGTCTGCACTGATTGTATGGACAAAGACACAAAATAATTACAAAAAACATAAACAAACAATAACAATAACTAAAGTAATCCCTTACATTCACGGCCAGTGAGCCTCATACACACGATTTCTCATACACACGGTTATTTACCAGGAACATTGTTAAATGAATACACATGCATGTAATGTAATACATGCATGTGTATTGACTTTTTGGCTTTTCTACACTGCTGCCTTCCAGAGGTGGGAAGTAGTGGAGTACAAATACTTTGTTACTGTACTTAAGTACATGTTTCTGGTATCAGTACTTTACTCCACTACTTATTTTTCTGATGACTTTTTACTTTGACTTCTTACATTTTGAACACAAATACCTGAACTTTCTACTTCTTACATGTTGAACTCAGATACCTGTACTTTCTACTTCTTACATGTTGAACTCAAATACCTGTACTTTCTACTTCTTACATGTTGAACACAAATACCTGTACTTTCTACTTCTTACATGTTGAACACAAATACCTGTACTTTCTACTTCTTACATGTTGAACTCAAATACCTGTACTTTCTACTTCTTACATGTTGAACTCAAATACCTGTACTTTCTACTTCTTACATGTTGAACTCAAATACCTGCACTTTCTACTTCTCACATGTTGAATTCAAATACCTGCACTTTCTACTTCTCACATGTTGAATTCAAATACCTGTACTTTCTACTTCTTACATGTTGAACACAAATACCTGTACTTTCTACTTCTCACATGTTGAACTCAAATACCTGTACTTTCTACTTCTTACATGTTGAACACAAATACCTGTACTTTCTACTTCTTACATGTTGAACTCAAATACCTGTACTTTCTACTTCTTACATGTTGAACTCAAATACCTGTACTTTCTACTTCTCACATGTTGAATTCAAATACCTGCACTTTCTACTTCTCACATGTTGAATTCAAATACCTGCACTTTCTACTTCTCACATGTTGAATTCAAATACCTGTACTTTCTACTTCTTACATGTTGAACACAAATACCTGTACTTTCTACTTCTNGTGCTGTAGTTCCTTTATAGCCCAACATTAGCCTCCTTTAGCTTAGCGGTGGTGACGTGAAGTCATGTGACCGTGCTGTAGTTCCTTTATAGCCCAACATTAACCACCTTTAGCTTAGCGGTGGTGACGTGAAGTAATCTGACGTGGTGACGTGAAGTCATGTGACCGTGCTGTAGTTCCTTTATAGCCCAACATTAGCCTCCTTTAGCTTAGCGGTGGTGACGTGAAGTCATGTGACCGTGCTGTAGTTCCTTTATAGCCCAACATTAGCCTCCTTTAGCTTAGCGGTGGTGACGTGAAGTCATGTGACCGTGCTGTAGTTCCTTTATAGCCCAACATTAGCGTGCTGTAGTTCCTTTAGCCTAACATTAGCCACCTTTAGCTTAGCGGTGGTGACGTGAAGTCATCTGACCGTGCTGTAGTTCCTTTAGCCTAACATTAGCTTTTTATTTCTGCCTGCATTTACACTTTAAAATCATAAAATGATGTTAATATGTGAGATTATCTGACTCAACAAAACATGTTTGCCAGAGATTATTTTTTGCAATAATCCAAAATCCAATTGGAAAATCCAAATGGCTTTTTGTCGACGGAGCTCTTGTAATGCTAACTTCCGTGTCGTCCGACAAACATACGTCATCACTTCACCTCCAGACTTTACCCAAAAACAAAACACCAAGACCATGAGCGGTTACATTTTCAATACATATTTTTTATTGACAAGGTATCAAAAACAAAAGAGACCACGAACATGGAAGAAGAACACATTGTCGTAGCAGTTGTACCTGACAGTTTACAGTTTATTCATTTTGCCTATGTGATGCTACAGAGAAAACAGAAACTGCCTCCATCAGTAGAAGAAGGCACAACAAAATACATCAGTGCTTGTGACTAGCAACACAACAACACAACAACAACAACGAACACACTGTGAGCAGACGCCTGCGTCCCTTTAACCAAGTCACTCTTAGGTCATTTCTTTCTAATAAACAATATCAACTTTCGTCTTCTCCCATGCAAACGTAAAATATTAAACTTCAGTCCTCACTGTGACAGACATGTGATGTTGAAACATAAATGATTACTCTTTCTGGAGATGTTTTCCAATAGCGACAAACTTTTAAGTTAACCTCATGACTTCACGTCACCACCGCTAAGCTAATGGTGCTAACATTATATTTAATGCAATTATTCAAATACTGATGCAACGTTTCCTTGGCTTTTTACGTACATTCGATAAGTAATTGAATTCCCCTTTTAACCTCTGATTGTGCAATACACCACATTTCCCTCGAGGGGATCCTTAGAGGAAAAGGGGAGTGGAAGAAGGGAGAATAATTTGGCAGTGAGTGGAAACCTGGTTACTGATAAGTTCAAAACACACAGCATAACATAAAAAAACCATCTTGCGTAACTCAAGATTCAGGCGTGGTTTAGAACCAGCCGAAAGCTGATGCAACACTTCTGATACCTAGCTAGCGATATCTCATGAACACAACTTCCAAACCAAGTCTTAATAATTCAAAAATATATCATTAGAAAATAACAATCTTTCTTGTGTTGTCCAAGACCAAAGGAGGCATCCGGTGTTTAACGTACAGTAGAGTTTATGCGATACAATACACAAGATTTTAAAGTAGAAAAACAACAAAAATAACACTTGTGGAGCTTCATCGTCACAGAAGATGTAAAAAGAAACACTTGTACTATTTACCTTAAGAGGGAACGCAGTGATAAATAAATTGAAATTATTTACAGTATTATTATATTTGGGACAATTTTGTTTGCGTGCGAAATTCAAATTGCTAAGTAAAGTAAGGTGTCATCTGCATACAGGCGTATATTGTTACGATCATCTTCGATAAGTGCAAACCCTGTCTGAAAAGTACATTTCCCTTTTTTTTTTTTAACTGCTACTGCTGCCCTGATATCAAACAAGCCAACTCCTTTTAGATATTACTTCTTAAAAAACATTGATCTACAGCCAGCACAGGTCCTGAGAGGTTAGTAGTAGCAGCAGATTTAGTAGTTCTTGTTGTAGAAAGGACAAGAGTTGATACAGCAATGACATGTCACACAGTAGTTGCTCAATAAATATGCTTCATACACTAAGCAGAGCAATGTTTTTTTTTAAAGCTGATTACACACTCGTCAGGCTTTACAAACTCACTCAGTCGATCAGCGTCGACTTTCCTTGCAAATCAAGCTTTGGTACAAAAATCGGACAATTCAAAATACCAGTAAATAAAACGAAAACGTGTATTTTAGTGCTTTGGCATCTGTCCTTGGACGAGACTGTTTGTAATGTTTTTCTGTCCAATCAGCAGCTGTGGTTTCAGGGAGTGGGAGGGGCCTCTTTCTCTCTTTTTAGCAGCTTTGTTGACGGTGAATGAGACCGAGGAGTCATCCGATGGCGTTTATTTTGTAATGTCACTGTCACTCAAGTCGTAGTCGTCCACCTGCATCTCTTACAATCTGTGCTGCGTTGGGATGAGACGTTGAAAGTCTTTGAAGAGTGGGTTGATCTCTCGTCAGTGGCAGTGGATGCTATCGAGGCTCAGGAGGCCTCCGTCTAGAGGTGATATTGTCGAGAGGGAAGTGGAGGTGGACGTTGTGGTGGAAGAGACAATGTTGTGGAATTGTAAAGTGCTCTCCTTGATGTGTTGGAGGAAAAGGTTCCTCTCGTCCTCGGGCGTTTGTCCGTTTTGGGCTCGTACGATGCAGGTGGGTCGGTGAAGGTTCAGCATGTAGACGAGCTGCTGCTTCTGAGTCTTCAACTCCTCGATCTGAGCCTTCAGGTCCGCGTTCACCGTCTCTAGTTTCTCAGACTCCTGCAGAACAGAGAGAAGAAGAAGGGGGACATTAGTTGGTAATCAGAGAGGGCAAAAGTACACACATCCTTTACTCAAGTAGAAGTACAGAGACTGCTGTTTAAAAAGACTCTGGTGAAAGTAGTAGGAGTGAAATAGTACCTGCTGCAGAGTCTCGGTCTTCTCCTTCTTCCTGTTGCGACACTTTGCAGCAGCGACTTTGTTCCTCTCTCTCCTTCTCCTCCTCCTCTCCTGCTCCTGAGGTTTGAACTGAAAAATCAAAGAAGAAAACATAAGCTTTCAATATTTTATCCCCAAACTGTAAAATCACTACACTTGGTTCAAGTGTATTTGTATGGCACCCAAAAGTAAGACTTTGAATGCATGACCTGTACTTTAAAGAGTCCTCTCCTGCTGATGTTCAGGTGTATATCAGTATGTAGTGTCTCTACTTTAAAGAGTCCTCTCCTGCTGATGTTCAGGTGTATATCAGTATGTAGTGTCTCTACTTTAAAGAGTCCTCTCCTGCTGATGTTCAGGTGTATATCAGTATGTAGTGTCTCTACTTTAAAGAGTCCTCTCCTGCTGATGTTCAGGTGTATATCAGTATGTAGTGTCTCTGTGTGAGTGTTACATCGTGATGTCACTATCAGTAAAGGATCTGTGTTTCTCCCTCACCTCTCTCTTGACTCCTTGTCCGTCCTGGTAGTCCATGGAGGTCAGATCTGAGCTGGAGCAGTCGGAGCTCACGTCGGCGTTCAGTCCGTTGGAGAGGCGTTTTGATTGGATGGCGAGCCTTAGCTCCTCCTTCACCATCGGGCTGAAGTTGGTGAAGTCGTCCAGAGTGAGGCTGCCGGGGGGGGACAGGCAGGGAACCAGAGCGGAGTAGCTGATGTCCGCCAGCGAGAGGCCGGGGTGCTGCAACATCATGCTGAAAACACAGGAGGAGATATCATTATTAACATGTCAGAGTTAGATTTTATTTTACGAAATCAGGTTTTCAGCATTTGTCAAAGTCAACTTCATTGTCAATCTTTCAGTTTGTGTGTACAGACAGAGAGATCGAAATACCGACTCCCACAATCCCGAATAATTGTTTTTATTAACACTCATACTGTATCACCGTAACAAACCATATTTAATTTCATCTTACTGTACAATATTACATTTCACGTTCTGTATTCTATTTAGGTGTATTTGCACTATTTTGTATTTTGTTATATGTTGCATCATTCTGCAAACAGGACAAAACCCATCATCATCATCATCATCATCATCATCAAGTCAGAGTAAGATTATATTACTGTATTGTACAATGTTTTCAGCTTTATTAATACTCATACAACACTCTATGTATTGTAATATTTACATTTCTACATATTCACTTTGTATCTATTTTAGTATAATTTACAAACTAGTTATTTTTTTCACTATTTATTCAAATTGTATTCTTAAATGGAGCAATTACAAATAAAAAAGAACTGGTAAATTCTGATTTTGAATATGTCCTTTTTACTCAAGGTTGACAAATGAATAAACTACAGCTACAAATAAAGCAATTAAAAAATTAAATGATATGCAAAACGTAACTATAATGGAAATATTATATTGTAGATTAAAGACATCTTGATAACTTGAATTAAGATCTTAACAGAGAAGTAATTAAGACACTATGGAAGTATTAATTACTCACTCGCTGAGTTTGCACAGCAATTACAGGATAACAAACTAACTGCACGCACGAGGTCATATTTGCCATTCTGGAAAAACGCCATGAACAATTAAAGAGGATAATTGATGGGCGTGAATGTTATCTCAACAGAGGAGTGACTGACAGATTGATCCGATGATTATGATCAGCAAACCAAAACAAACAGTCTGTCCTGTATCCAAGCATTTCAAGACTATTAAAAACAGTATTCTTCCTATTTTTTGTCCATACATTCTTATATTTAGGCAGTTTATAGAAGATATTAGTACACGTTTTTCAATAATCTGACACTGCAACCGATACAGAAGATTTAGTTTGTTCTCATTTCGTTTCCATAATATAATATTTGCCGGGTTTTGAGGCTTTTATTTGGACATTTGTTCGGAATAAATGCAATTTAACTAAAGTAAATCTAAGTAAAGGATTTGTCATTTCCTTCAGAAAATAATAATATGGTTTACTTATAATGCATTTCATATATCTTGACGATGGCTGTAATAATTTAAAAAGTGTTTATAAAGTATTTTGAAGTCACTATAATGCCTGTCAAACACGAAGCACAAGTCATCCAACTGAAATTACAAGTTATGACTGAACAACTAAATAAAAAAAGCTCTAAAATCGCAAATCCCTCGTGATAGTTCACCCGTAAATATCGTCTCATTTCTTTTGTGTTTTTTTTAATATTCAGACGAATAAGTTCATATAGAAGTTTTCAGTGAAGTGTCCCGGGACAGCGCCGGCACTTCTCCGCTCCAAACCGAGACAACACACACCAAGTCACTAAAAAACTCCACACACTCTCACACACACACACACACACACATACCGGAAAACAACCGTACCTTGACTGAGTGGGGGACAGGTTGGTGAACTGGATGCGGGTAAAAAGCAGCTCTTATTCTTATATCTCTTCGCTTCTTCCGTCTCTCTTCTCGCTGTGAGTAAGGTTGCGCTTGTGGCTCGGAGTGTTGCATCACGAGAATTTAAAGAGAAAAACGGGAGGGGGCGCGGCCATCTGACGTCACAGGAATGCTCTACGAGAGAGGAGGGAGGGAGGGAGGAGGGAGGCTGACGTCATCCTATTTATAGAAAGCTTATTCTGCGATGATGCAATCTAGCAACCTCCGAGCTGCTTTTGCTCCATAACAGGAGAGGACATCCCCCCCC